TCTCAAAATTGAAATTTTAATTAATTGTTAGAATAGTTGATTAAATTTTTTAAATTTTCCCTTGTTATCAATCTCTATATATAAAAAAATGAGCGAGGAGATAGATGACGTGTATAATAATGAAATATATTAATCCGATTTTTTTCACTGATGTACCGAGCAAGATCTTTTTTATCGGCCGATGTATTGAGAAGGTGTTTTGGTGAATTTCTTTAATTAACCAACTACTATTAGAATTAATTTAATTAATTAATTAATTAATTATTAAAAAGAGATTTCCTAGTAAAATATTACTGTTAAAAGATTTTCCACGTTGCCGACAAATTTCATTACATCAACCATTACTTTCTTTCTATAAACAGGTGGACAGGTTCGTTTGTTTATAGTCACCCTACGATATATTTGAAGATTTGTGTGTTAACTAGACTGATTTAGACATCAAGATTTCCAAATGTTTGTTAAACGTTATTATATGCATAAAATAGAAGAATTATAATTATTTCTTGTGGTAAGGTTGTGCCATGCTCGTAGCACAGCCTCCCCTTTTGCTCTTTTGTATTAGAAAGAAAACAAATAAATAAACAAAACTCATTCGATTTTTAACTTTTCAAACGAACAGGAGAAGAAATTCAAAATAACTGTAACTTTATTTAAAAAAGATTATAAAAACTAGAAAAACTTTAGCTAAAAAAAAAATTCTTTAGTATTCTTGTGGTTTATTAATCGATTATCTTTGAATAACAAATAAAAATTATCTCGATTAAATATATATATATTTATTTATATATACTCTTTCAATTCAAATTTTTTCCATCTTTAAAAAAACTTTTAAAATATATACATATATATATATATATATATACACATATTTATATTTTATATATTCTTCGATCTTTTAAAAATAAAATTTCTGAATTCCTCTCGTCATTACATTTATATCAACCTCCTAATAAATTTGTAAAAAATATATCAAAATGTCTAGAAATTTATTATTAGAAAATCCACCCAAAAAAACTCAGAATGAAATTATCACTTCACTTCCATCAGATATTCAACTTCCTTTTCCGCCACTGATCGGCGCCTCCGATTTCATATTGAAGAGATCGGCAGAAAAAATCTGGATGAAGAGCCCAAATGCTTTTTTCATATATAGGAAAGCATTTCAAAATCATCTAAAATTTTTGAATTACAAATTAACAATGATGAACGTTTCAAAATTGGTTAGCAGTTGTTGGAAAAATGAAAAAGTAGAAGTTAAAGATGCTTATAAAAAAATTGCTAAAGAAGTGGAAAAACAATTAAAAGAGAAAAGGAAGATGGATAATGGATATCCGGTAGTATGGAAGAATGATAAAAAACCATCTAAACAAAAATTACTGCAGCAGCAACAGCGTATCAATAGTAGTAGTAGTAATAGTAATAATAACGACAACAATAATAATAACAACAACAACAAACAAAACTTAGATCATCATACGCAAAGTACAAAATTTGTATATAACGATAATCATTTTAATAGTAATAATAACAATAATAACGATTTCATTAATAATAATTTTATTAATCATAATGAAAATTCGACATATGCGGTCAATTGCGAACTGTTTAATTCTCAATCATTCGTAACTCACGATTATTTTCCAATTATTGCAACAACGACAACGCTTCCAAACACAAATATATTTCAACATAGTAATTTTAGTCATGGTGATTTCACATTCAGCCACAACCTAACTTCGATGTACAACAATGAAGATGACAACATCTCCAATTTTAATTTAGTCGGCCCAATCCTAATAACAAATAATATTAATAACCATCACGATGATAATTTTGGTAACATTCAAAATAATGGCAATATTTTTGAATCATCAAATTTCATAAAATCGTCAATTCATTGAAAAAAAAAATTTTTTTATAAGATACATTTTTAACAATAAGTAAAATTAAGACTTTTTTTTTTAAAAGATTTTTACACATAAAAATTATTTTATGGTTTTATGATAAGATTGATTATAATCAAAGAATATTTTTTTAAAATACCATATATTTTTTTATTTTATTTTATAAATACGATGCAAAAAAAAAACATTTTCATAGTTTGTTTAAAAAATTATTTTTAATATGTTTATTTTTAATATGTTCAAGGGCTCCATGCATACGCGCATCCATACACAAGCACGCACGCACACATATTTATTAAAATCGCACAAAAATAAATTTTTTAATTTTAAATTATTAATTTTTCCAAAAATGTTTTCGGTACAAATGGACTTGCTTTACTTGGTAAATGACACAAGTGCAAGGAAAGAGATATCAAGAAAGACATAAATTAAGATGGTTGATAAACTAAATAGTAAAGATTTTCAAAAATAATCGAAACATCGAACTTTTTTGTTATTGTTATATAATATACATATTTGTTGTTTTGTTATCAGATAAAGATGAACGGTGACAAAAATAAGAATAAAATTCCTTAATAATCAAATTTTATGGATCATAATGTTGTGTAAAAAAATTTTTTATTGACGAGTTGAAGACTTGTTTTTTTTTCCTTAAAAATACAATTAATTAAATAAAACATTATACATGTTTATATGTTATTTACATACATATATATATATAGTTTAGTGTTTTTAAAACTGATCTCTACAAACAAGGCGCAAATTGTGTGTGTTTATAATATTGGACGATTCGGTAATTGAGTAACTCTAACTTGACTAATTTAATCGAGAAAAATCAAATTTCGTGCAAGTATAGGAGTATGAATGACTATTACAATGATGGTAATGCTGTTGCTAATAATAATAAAATGAAGGCGCGCGTTATGATGTTAATAAATGCATGTGCGGTGGGTGTGTTACAAAATAATCATCATCGCTTTCCACTTTTTATTTATGCAAAGATATCTCGCGATCATACCTCTTACAAGCGTATTTTTGTACGCTGACTCACATAGTTTTTACACGTTAAGAATATCGAGTTTCTTTTTGAACAAAGAAACTTCTTTATAAAGAAACGGGAATTCATAAACAATCTACCGAAAAAAGATTAATTTACAAAATAATTACAACGATAATAATTACGTATTTGTTTATATTTATTATATATTTATATTTTCATGGATACTGAGAAGAAAAATTAAATTTGGTAATAGTACTATTTCATTTTCGGAAGGCCCGAGAAAAATTATGTAATAGTAATAATAATAATATTATTAATATAAATAAAATTAAATAAAATAAATACCTATTGTTGAAATAAGTTAAAAATAGTTTCCATTTTCTTTTTATGTATTTTATCAAAGAATTCAACTTTTCTCATGTAATCCATTCATTCAAGTTCTTCTAAATTACGAATTCCTCAAATTCAATTATTCTAAAAATATGTTTTTGATTTCGGTTTATAAATTTTCATGTTGTTTACACTAGAATAAAGAGAGCTTGATATCATGCACCATGTAATAATAACAATAATAATAGCAGCGACAATACAATAAAATAAAATATATTAATATTCTTTTCCTTTTCACCAATCACAGCAATTTCACACTATTTCATTTTCGGAAGGCCCGAGAAAAATTATGTAATAGTAATAATAATAATATTATTAATATAAATAAAATTAAATAAAATAAATACCTATTGTTGAAATAAGTTAAAAATAGTTTCCATTTTCTTTTTATGTATTTTATCAAAGAATTCAACTTTTCTCATGTAATCCATTCATTCAAGTTCTTCTAAATTACGAATTCCTCAAATTCAATTATTCTAAAAATATGTTTTTGATTTCGGTTTATAAATTTTCATGTTGTTTACACTAGAATAAAGAGAGCTTGATATCATGCACCATGTAATAATAACAATAATAATAGCAGCGACAATACAATAAAATAAAATATATTAATATTCTTTTCCTTTTCACCAATCACAGCAATTTCACGCGTATTTTAAAATAGATCACGTGATTTAATATTCTTTGCCTGATTTAGACATTATAAATAATATTGGTTACACACAATTTTTTAAATGATAATCAAATTCATCATGTATAATGAAATGTTTGTTTATTTCTAAAAATTTATTATATGCAAAATAAAATTTTTGAAGAAAGAATTCAGAATCCTGTCTTAAAAACTTCTATTGATATCACAACAAATAAAGAATTATTATTTTTTTTTTTTCAAATCACAAACAAAATCAAAGTTGCATTTTTTTCAACTTTATCAAAGAATTCGTAAACATTTTAAAAAAATTATTTGTTTTCTTCTTTTAGATGAAATCTAATTATTATTTTTTTGTGTGTATGTGTTTGTTTATAAAATTTTACCTTTATCATTTAAAATGCATTGAAAATCGTGCCGCTTTAATGAAAGTATATAAAAAGTATAGCAGTTTAATATGCAATATTTATTTATAAGAAATTGAATGTATTATTCGTTATCGATTGTGTGACACTAGGATATTTTTTATAAAATGAGACGTAAATTTTTTTTATTCTCTCACAAAAAAAGAAAGAATCTTTTTTTTTTAAAAAAAATAACATAAAATCAAAAAACCTCCCATAAAATTAAAATAATCGGTTCATTATTTTTCGTTATTTATCGATTTTGTTAAAACAAAACCATTTTTTATAAAAAATTTTTAAACAATAAAACAATAATAATGAACAGGAATGAAATTTCTAAAGTGGAAAATTTAAATTCTTCTGTCTCCACGACAACTGATACCGCTTGCAACATCACCGCCATTACTTCTTCTACTCTTACCAATAACAATAAATACAAAACTATAAAAAATGAAATTAATAATTCTTCTATAACAACTATAAAAAATCCATTTCAAGTAATACTTCCTTTCCCGCCTCTTATCAATGCGTCTGAAATCATACACGGTCGTAAACCATCACAAATGGTTGCCAAAAGTCCCAATGCTTTTTTTATTTATCGTAAAGTATTTTTGGATCAGTTGACACTATTAGAAAATAATGCCAATTTCAAAATGACCGATGTTTCCAAACTGGTCAGTTTCTATTGGAAAAATGAACTGGAATCTGTTAAAGATGCTTATCGTGAAATTGCTCAAGAAGTTGAAATCAAACTCAAGGAGATTAGAAAGAAAGAAGTGAATTCTAGAGTTGTTTGGAAAAAGTGTAAATTAGGTATTAATAAACGAAAGGATTCAACCACAACAATTAACTCAAAGACCAAGTCTAATGTTTCAACAAGAAAACCTAATAAACGATCCGGGATTAGTAGCAACAACAACGACAATAATAATAATAGCAAGAATAATATAAAGTATCAATTTATACCTTCGAATTATTCAGAGATGGAATTAAAAAATTTCAATGGTAAAGTCAACGATGATGATAAAATAATTAATCGTGTAAATAAAGCCAACAATAACGAAACGGTTGTTAAAGCTAACGATAGTGAATTAATTATCAAAGCCGAGAAAGATGACGATGGAAAAATTCTTCATGTCAATCATGACAAAATAAATAATGATGAAAAAATTGATAAAGTTATTATTGATGGTAATGAAAAAACTCTCGACAACACAAACATCCATCAGTATCCCAATAGTAATTACACTAAATTTATTCTGCCGACATTAGAATATCAACCTTTTAATGGTAGTAGTAGTAGTAGTATCAGTAGCAATGGCAGCAACAACAACAACGATGAGATCTTCGATAATAATCAAATCTTTGAGAATACATTTATTGAAGAAAATTTTATTAATGATGAATTTAATGAAGAGTATTTGGGTTTCAATCATAACGATAGTGGTGGCAGCGTCGGCGGCGGCAGCAGCAGCAGCAGCAGTGATTCTAGTGGTATTACTCATTATAGTAATATTAGTACTACTGCTAACATTTACAATAATATTAACAATGTTAATAATACTTTTTTTAATAATGAACAATTTAATTGGTATTTGCAAAGTTATATTGAATCGTAAAAAATACCTGTTACTATTATTAATTGTCATTATTATTTTGTAAATATTAAGCTTATTGTTATTTTATAATTAGTAAAGTATACATAATATAAAAAATATATACATACAATATACACACACACACATACACATACATAAATTACAGCGTAAGACTTAAGATTTTATTAAAATTAATTAATTTCTATTTTAGATTTGTAAATTTTATTTTTTTATTTTTTTCAATCTTATCTTTTAATAAATTGAGTTATGATTTGTATTCACGTGTTTGTTTATTTATAAAATATTTTTTAAATTGCTGTTATTGTAACTTTCCCAAAATATTATATTTATTTATAAATAAATAAATAATAACGCATATAAAAATAAATATCCTTCTCACTCTGACCCATTGAAAATTACTCTGTTAATAGGAGATCTTCCATAATTTTTGGATTTCGCAGAAATTAAAAAAAACAATAAAGTAGTTAATAATATGCGATTGGTTTCCCAAGTGATTTTGGGGCTGATTCTCATCTATTTATGGGCAATATTTTAGTAAATCTTGACACGGAGATCTCACTAATGGGAGTGTGCAAAAATATTATACGATTCTGTGACCATCGGATTTGATGTTCATTCATTCTATATTTAATTTATCAATCTATCTCTCTCTATTAAACAATAATATTTCTTTTTCTATTTTTTAAATTTTTTTTTAATTTATTAATTTAATTTAATTTTTCTCTCGTGTGTGAAAAATTAATCTATTTCTATTCGCACGTGAGCGAGCGTTCAAAATTTTAATTGTTACGCATTTTAATTTACTCCACTCCTTTATATTATTTCTAGCTAGTATTGTTATCTTTTTATTTATATTAATCTTGTTATTAATATGGCAAATACAAATCCCTTTTGGTTACTTCGTAAAATATTTAAGTTCGCGGAAATGCCGACGCAAACAAGTCTCATATAAATTAATAATTGCTGACCCGTCTCAATTTAATCAAGTTCATACATACCTCCTTCTTTACCTTATTATTATAATAATATTATTTAATGTAAGATCAAAATATTGTAATTTTCCAAATATAGTTAGAGATATTTAATATGTCATGGGTGAACCTTAAGAGTAAGGGTAAAACCTAATCGAGTCGCGCAAATCAACAAACAATAAATAAACACTGCGTGTCGCTCTTGTTACACAGTTTAAACTTTTTTCATCAAATTTTTTTGAATAATGGCAAGAATTGACGATATTTATTAATTGGTAAACAAATCAATCAATCAACTTTACGACTAATCAATATTATACGTTATATCTATCTATATTAGCCAAATAATAAGCGACACACGTTAAAGCAAATTAAAAAGAAAACGTTGAAAATTCATCCTTCTTCTCGTAAAGCTATTCAACTTCAACGTATATCTCTAAGAAATGATCGTCTTAAACGAGATAAAATAAAAAGATACAAAGAGTCAATCCAACCAAATGGTATATTATTGTTATATCATGACATTATCTTAATTATCGACTTTTTTATTAATGGATGTTTTATTTTTTATATATTTAGTCGATAAAATGTTGTGGTTTAAATTTGCACTTGATGATACATTATCATGTGCCACAAAATCTGAAGTCCATGAATTAATAGAATTGTAATTTACTTTCATTATTATATATGTAGAGTTTTTTTTTTGAAATTGTATTAATTAGATAAGTTTATTTTTTTAAAAAAGTTATATATCTCGTAACGATGAAGAGATTTTGAAACTTGAAGAATCCAACAAAAATAAAACTAAATCATCAAGACAAAATTTTTTAGAAGCATTAAAATCAAAGGAAAAAAGAGAACATCAAACAGGATTTGGTAAAATAAACTAAATCGATATTATTTTAGCATTATTATATTTCTAATTATTTTGTTTTTCAAATCTAATATTTCGATAGAAATACCTGATTTATTGGATCCAAAAAATGTTAAAATATTACGGTAAAATCTAAATTCAAAATTATCATTATTACTACTGTTATTATTATTTGAAAATCATAATTTTTGCAATTACTAACATCTTGATGACTTATTGATAGTGAGTGGGACGGTGACCCAAATTCTTTATCAAGAATCAAATTGATTCATATACAACAAGATCCAAATAATCACTCAAAAGAAAAATCTTGATTAGGAAAAAAAAATTTTTATTATTAACAAATTGAATTTAATTTTGAAAAAAATAAAATGATTAGTTGTTATTTTTTTATATTAAATATGTCATTGCAAGTAAAGAGTTTTCTTTAATAAAAATTTTTTTTTGTTTCTTTTGTGTTAAATAATCTATGTTCACTCCACATTATTCTCATCTTCTTAACTGTCAAAATTTGGAAAATGTTTAAAAGATTAGTAGCATCTATGTTTACATTAATATATATATACATATATATATAGTATATATAAGTTACTTACTGTAAAAATGAAATTAAAAAAGATTAAATATTTTTTAGATAAAATTTTTTCAAGTAAAATGTTTTAAATAACTTATTAAACTTATTTTTTGATATTCCATAAACTTTCTGGCCTGTGCTTTCTATACTTGCTAAAATAGAGGCCACATGCTAAAATTTAATATACTAATTAGCATGTTTGAGCATAATATAGATAATAGATATATTAAAAATATATATATTACCATTGCATAATTTTTTGTCTGGTGTTTCACCTGCACGCCAATTAGGTGTATTTGTAGTTTTACAATTTGAACAAACGAAACCTATTTAAAAAAAATAATATTGTTGTTACTGCTATCATTATTGTCAATAATAATAATCAAAATAATTGCAAGTTAATAAAGATATTAACCATATGGATTATCATGAACTTTGGTTGTCCTTGTCCTTTTAATATTTGTTTTTTGTTTTTTGGCTGCAATAGACTTGGAATTTTGACCAGATAATTTTTCAAAATACTTTGATTCATTGGTTTCAAGAAAACTGTGTATATATATATATATATATATATATATATATATTTATTTAAGATTAATTATAATTTTTTTGAGAAAATACTAGTATGCTAAATAGTCTATTTACTTTAAAAAATCTATAATATTAGTTTCAAAATTTTCTTTTTCTTTTTGATTCATTTGAGCTTGAGATAATAATTCTGGAAATTTAACTAATATTTCAAATTTTCAAAAAGATTAATTAAAGTTTCTCATAAAATATATATTAATCACAAATATAAAATAAATATATTACCAAATAACCTTAGTAAATGTTCTGCTCCATATAAATCCGACCATTCTTTATTAGGATGTGTTTTATGAATTTCTGAATTTTGAATATTCTCCTCTTTATACAAGAGTAAATTCTGCAAACAATTTTTAAAGTAGATGTAGATTCCTTGAGATAATTCGATACTATCATTTGTTTCGTTAATAGACTCGTCTGCTTTTTTTGAAGTTGATGCAATTGGAGGATTATTATCAATCGGTGATATTGGTGTTGGTATTGTTATTGTATTTTGTTTATAATTTAGATAGTCTTGCAATATAGTAGTAATTGTCACTGATCTAGGTAAATTATATAGCTATATAAAAGGATAGACTATATCAATATTAAGTAATGTGTGTGTGTGTGTGTGTATATATATATATAAAATAATCCCTTTAACTTACTCTTTTATATTTTGTTATAAATTCCCAATCTTCTACTAGTTTATCTAGAAGAAACTGCGGAATTTTGAATTCAACATTAACAGATTCATTTTTTTCCTGCGTCTGGTTAATTAAAAAAAAATTTATACTGTTGTTATTAAAATTTTTTTCTATTAAAAAATATATATATATACATATATATATTAATAATGAATTAAATCATATACATTATTGACATCAACTTCTTGATTCTCTTCTACTTTGTCGTGAATTTTTTCAACTTGTTTCCCCTTAACATCTACTTTATTGTTATTACTTCCTCCTAATTTAATTCTTATCCTTTTCACCTCTACCCTTTCAATATTTTCTTCAGCTTGATCCGCTTTTTGTTTCCCCAGCACTTTTGTAGCACCTTCTTGTGTACTATCATCCAAATCCAAATCCATAGCATCAGCACCTCTCTTTTTTGTTTGATTTTGATCTTGCTTATTTAAAATAATTTTAAGTGATTTGATTTCTCCTATTTGACAATTTATTATTAATTAATAAAAGCTCTGAATCAATAAACAACCATTTTTTTTTTAATTTATTCATTCACTTGCTCACTCGCACACATACCACTAACAACAGCTACACCATCTACACCATCTACACCATCTACACCATCGTCGACTTTTTCCTGATTTTTGGAGTTAGAATCAGCGGATTGCACAAGCACCTCATTTACTTTCGGTGAAGGCTTACCATCAACTTTTGGTATTTTGGGTTGCCTCTTTTTATTTTTCGTTGAATGCAACTCTTTGAGCTGCTTTTGTTTTTGTAAACTTTCTTCATTTAATTTTAATAGTCTTTCTTCTGGAACCCATTCATCCCACCTATATATATTTATTTACTCATCAATGTAAATGTCATTATCATCATTTTTATAAAATAAAATTATAAAACTTTGAAATAAAAAATGTAACTACGTTTTTTTCCATCCTTTATAATGCACAAAGAAATGCGGCCCCAATTTTCCGGTTTTTGATTCGTGCCCAAAAGATTTAACTTTTAATATCTAAGATTCATAATATTGACAATTTGAAATAAATAATATACATTTAATGTAAGTTGTAAGATACATTTGATCTAATAACATAACACACACATACACACATATATATATAGATTGAAATTTACTTTTGCCTCATAAATTAGTGGTCCGTGGAAACATAATACCACTTCGTTCTCGACGAAGGTTAATCTTTCTTGACTATTAATTTCCATTTTAGATGTGTGCTTTAATGATTAGTTTTATTATTTATGATATTTGAAATGGGTTCTTTTGATTTTTGATTTGAAAATCAGAAAAATCAAAATTTGGTGCGACAGCCACCTCAATTACAAAGGAAGAGCACAATCAACTTGGAATTATGATTATTAAAAAAAATGTTCTCTTTATTTATAAATAATAATATTTCTATGTTTCTGGTGAACATTCGCTACTAACGCCAGATTCTTCAGATTTATAAAGTATTAAATTAGGACATGGTTGATATATATACTTGATTAAAAAGAGAAGTTGAGGAAAATAGATAAATAAATAAATTGATTTAATATTTAATAGTAATAATAATAATGGTGATGATGATGATGATGATGATAATAATAATAATAACAACAACAACAATAATAATAGTAATCATTCCCAGATAATACTTACATCTCTAAATAATCCTTCACATTTCATTCTTAGAAAGCATTTCCCTTCTGCAGTTTCTTTTTTTAACCACAAATACCATAACAAATGATCTTTTGGTATTATTTTTATAAGATTTTCGCGAGTAATCTGCCAGCCAATACCATTATAATGCAGATTCAAAGCCCTAATCAACCTGTGCACATGAATTGTTATTAATGAATGGTATAGTTTATTGTAAACCTAAAAATTATTATATTATTGTATTATAAAATATTAAAATCACATGCTTGCTTGGTTATTGTGATATGTTTATATTTTCCAATATCAAATCACACCGACTTACATCGACTAAATCTTTGGATTCTGTTGAGCTACCTTTTAATGCATCAACACGAATTCCCAAGGTTTTCACCAACGTGTCTTGATGAAATCTTATTCCACCAAAATCTTTAATTATAAATCCAATCAATTCTCCAGTTTTAGAACTAAAACGTGCACGAGTATTTTGTTGATGTGGTTCAAATGTAAACCCATTATCTAAAGCGGGAGGCAAAAATGCTTCAAATAATATTCGAAGGTATCTATAAGGTTTTTAAATTTACTTTGTGATTTTTTGTTAAAAGTAATCTTTTTTAATTATAATAATCAAAATTACCTATCAAGAAAATCAATACGTTTTTGTTCAGTGTCCAAATTCCAGACTTTTTCAACGACACTTTTTCCATTTTCATCCTTTTCCGTTAACGCTCCACATATTATGGCCTTTTCGCTATCATCCAAATCATTAACATCTTGTCTGATTATACAACTCAAATGTTTTGCAACATCTGGATCTGAATCGGTTGATATCACACTTGCTAGCTCATAAGCAATTTTCAAAATATTCCAATTTATATTAAGCTTTTTTAACACGGGCGTTAATCCTACGCCAAGATGTGCAGCCCAAGGTGAAATAGTTCTCATTGCTGATGTCAATCTCATGCCTAATGGTAATTTAAATGCCAATCCAGGTAAATTTGGAAATACCACTGTGCGTATATTAGTTTGACTATTGGCCCTTATTGAATATTCAATTGGTAGAATTTCAACGTGTGGAAATTTTGATTTGATGATTGGCAATTGTAGTTCATGAAACGGTACAAGAACTTTATCTGATGGAATATTCGGTTTTGGAAATTTCATTGTATCTACCAGTTGTCGTATTCCTTCTTCAAAAGATCCTCTTATACACACCTTATCATGTGGCACTAGTGCAAAACGAATCAATGGCTTCTCAAAATCATAACTACCTGGAACTATTTCAGAAATAGGAGGAACAGTTTTTCTAGATTTATGCAACTAAAAATAATTTTTTTTTCATTTGTCAAGACAAATAAAAAAAAAAAAAGAGTATATAAAATCCTGTTGTCATTTATAGATACCGGATGTGTCGGATGGGATTCGATCAAACTTTGTTCCCATTCAATACTAGTGGAATTTAATGTTGGCATAGGTTTTGGATGTCTATATATAAATTCTAAATCAATTAAACATAAACAACAAATTAGCTTGATGATTTTTTATCTTTAAATCCAACATAATAGTATACATATATATATTACCTTGGTATTCGTAAGAACTTTTTAATTCTGAACATGTAAAATCAATTAATTCATTATTTAAATTTAACCAATCACCAAATACTCTCATTATATCAACTGGACTAATTTTTATTCCACCAATCTCGAACAAATTTGCACATTTCTTACAAAATAATTCAAATTTATTTTCTTCGTCTTCTTTCTCTTCATCCATAGACCTGAATTCAGTATCTAAAGAAAGTTTCTTTATAGGAGGTAACATATCACATGGATCAATATTTTCTACCTCTGATATAAACTTTTTTTCATTATTTTTGTAAAGTAACGGTTTATGTTTTACGCGAACTGAAAAAATTTCTTTAATCTGTTGGATTTTTTGATTATCAGGCAAAATAAAAATTATTCCAAAATTGCATTCTTTATTCAATAAAGATTCTGTTGTTTTTGTTGATTGTTCAAAAAAACCATTTAGTACAAACTTTTCTGGACAATAATATAAAGTTTTAACCAACCCTTCGTTAACTGCACATGTTAATAATCTTGAGCCTGTAGCAAAGTACGCTCTTTGTCTTGATGTTTCCTCCATCGTTTTAATATTAATATTTTAATTTTATTGTCAAAGTTACACTATATACCAAATGTAGAAAGTGGATTTTTTTGCCTTAGTAATTAGAAAATATTAAAGACAATGTAAATTGTCACAATATTAAATCCGTTAAAATTTATTGCACAAATAAAAAATTTACTTGATGTCTTGGAAGCAATCTATTAGAGTAATTGCTGGTTTAGGCGAGTGTTACTGTTTTTGCCTTAGTTCTTATAGTTTTTATAACTTACACACAATCATAATGTTTGCGCTTATTGTCTAAATATATAGATTTCGGAACAACTGCATCTGGTTTGTAAAATAAATTTATTGATATTACTAGTGATTAGCCTCCAGGTTTTTAATGAAATTTGTAATTTTTAGGTTTCACCTATTCCCATATTTCAAATGATGAACTATATACTAATGATAAGTGGCCTGGAGAAATTGGCCAACTGAAAACCTGTACAGTTTTACAATATGATGAAAAGTATGAAAAGGTTGAATCGTGGGGTTATTCTGCTTTAGCGAAACGTCATAATCGTAAAAGAGCAAGAAACGTTAATCAAAGACCTGTAGAATTATTTAAATTGCATTTAGGCGAAAATTTATTGAAAAAACCAGCTCTTAAAGTTGATTATAAGAAGGCCATCACAGATTATTTAACAGAAATTGGAAAGGTACTGTATCTCAATTAAAATTTTTTTTTGGAATATATTTTCACAAAAAATTTACTAATCAATTTTTATACATGACAATATAGCTAATGCAAGAAAAAATCACAAGTCGTTGGCCTAACGTAAACTATAAAAAAGATGTATTGCACATTGTGACTGTTCCAGCAGTAAGTTTACAATAATGACATTATATAATATTAAAAGCTAATATATAAACTTATTAATTGATAATACTTGGATTTTAGGAATATAGTGAACAATCTAAGGCTATTATGAGAGAGTGTATTTATCAAGCGGGCTTGTTAGAAGATTTAGATACTATCAGATTACAATTCACTACAGAACGTATGAAAATATTAATCTTTTGTTTTATAATAAAATATTTATATTATTTAAATACATTGTTGATATTTAAACAATTTATTTTTATCAATAGCCGAAGTAGCTGCAATTTATTGTATGAAAAATACATTAAAAGAACACTTAATATACGAGCCTGGAAGTTTGTATTTCTCTTGATTTTTTCTTTTGATTTTTTTTTTTTGATATTCTTTATATACTAATTAATTCAATTATTTTGCAAAAAAAAAAAAAGCAACATTCATGATTGTTGATTGTGGTGGCGGCACAGTGGATTTGACCACTAGAAAGTTACATAGTGAAGATCAATTGGGTGAAATCACTGAACGTTCAGGTAATTGATATTATTTTAATCAGTGTCAATATATTGAAAAAATATACATGTATTTATTTATTTATTTATTTAATTTAGGCGATTTTTGTGGAAGTACATATATTGATGATCAATTTTTAGAATATATTTGTAAAAACTTTGGTAATAATACAATCAATTTATTGAAGGAAAAACACTACGGGCAACTTCAATATTTGGTTCAAACATTTTGTAGACATGTTAAACTTCCATTTACCGGTCAAGAATTAGACTTTCATTACGAGTTAGATGTTGAAGAAGTTTGCCCAATTTTAAAACAATATGCGTCAGGTTCAGTAAAAGATGAGCTTGAAGAGAATGAATGGATAATCGATTTAGACTATGATACAATTAAATCATTTTTTGATCCAATAATCGATAGGATTATCTCAATGATACAATCACAACTTATTACTTCAAAAGAAAAATGTTTGGCAATGTTCTTGGTTGGAGGATTTAGTCAATCAAAATATTTACAATCTAGGATTAAGCAAGAATTCTCCACTAAAGTTGGATTTATTTCAGTGCCAAGTAACCCGGTTGCAGCAGTAGTTAAAGGAGCTTGTTTATATGGCATCAGCATGGTCACAAGTGATGAGGATAAGCTAGAAGGTTTGAAATTTGTGGTTAAAAGTAGAAGATTGAAATATACATATGGTATAAAGGTGTTTTATGAATGGAAAAAAGGAGATCCTATAGAAAGAAAAGACTCGTCAAATTCAATATCGAAATTCTATAAATTGGCTGAAAGAAACACTGAAGTTAAAATTGATCAAGAATTTTCCATGACATTTTATCCTAGACATGCCACCCAAACACACATCAGTTTTCTAATATTTACAACGACACAACATAATATTGAATATTGTGATGATCCAAGTGCCAAATTATTGGGTAAACTAAACATAAGTTTACCTTATGATAATTTGGGCAAAGATAGGCCAGTTTCTTTTTCACTTAGATTTGCCGCAATGGAAATTATCGCAAAAGCAAAAAACTTGACCAATTCACAAAACTATTCAACAACCTTTGAGTTGAATTTCGATTGAAAATTTTAAAAACAATTATTATTATTATTATTATTATTATTATTATTATTATTATTATTATTAACGATCGTACAATATTTTTTGTAAAAAAAACATTGATTATCATTATTATTACAGGTGTTTAGAATTTTATTGGCTAAAAAAATAACTACACTAATTCCTTTTATATAAAGATTTGAAATTTTCTAAAAAGATACTGCTGATTCAAGACTCGTGTACTTTTTTTTTGCAAAATTTCGCACAAATGTCTTTTAGAAACACTCCAATATTTCTCGATTAACAACGAAACTTGGGGGGAGAATACTTTTATCAATTAATTCTTCAACTGTTCCCTTTTGAGCAAGAAAATCAGGTTCCAAATATATTGTTCAGCAAGCACAACAAGAAACTCTTGAAAGATCATTGATTTTTCTTTGCATTCTAATAACATGGCCATTTTTCTAACTCTTTAAGTTTCCCTTGAAGTTTCTCATCAGGATGTATGTGTTTCTAGAAAGACATCGATCGCCATAATCTCTAGAGGTCTAAATTTGGATCAGCATACGGAAATTTATTCTGTGAAATTTTTAGTGATCGATGTTAATTTTTATGTGTAAAAATGCCCCCTTTTCCATTTTTGTGTGCCAGATTCATGTTATATTCATATTATTGATTTAAAGTAAGGTTCACTGTAACTAAGGCTTCGAACGAATCGAACGAATCGGACTTTAAAGCAATTCGATTCGGATTTTAAATTGGTATTATATTTTAAAAATAAAATGTGCTTATAACTAGGATAAGGAAAATATACAATCGAACCTCATTTCAACAAATCTATGACCCTATAAAAATTAAGATCTTAATTTTGATATGAAATACATACTGAAACGGAAGGATTCACCTAAAAATATTATTATTACTAAAATCCTACTAAAAAATCCGTTGAAACGAGGGTTCGACTGTATATATGTTTTAGTTAATCAAAATGAATGCTATTAACATATTACTGCTAAGTAATTATTGTCTTCAAGAATAATAAATTAACTAGAAGATAGATAGATAGATAAATTTTATAATAAGGTAGAAGAAGAAAAAAAAATATGAAAAGAGAAGACTTTTAGGTTATAAAATATTTAATTCTGAATTTGAGTGAAAAGCCATTTACAATTGATTGTTACAAACACAAGCATCTGGCATACACACTCCACTGGTCATAAATATAAGGACACTTGCAGATCATCAGAAATAATTGAATAAAGAAACAAACAAACTTTATTACTGCTTTTTTAATGTGTTATGATGAGATAAATTTGTGCAGAAAAACTTTATTACTATAGTAGCTTTTAGCATTTAACATAAAAAATTATTATCTTTTTGAAATGTATACCACAGTAGATGATAAAGATTTTTAATTCCTCTGTCCTTTGATCAGTCATCAAGTATCTCTGCTGCAATCCTAGAAACAAGATCTGCATAAATAATAATAAATTGACAAAATCATTTCCAGATACGATTGCACAATTTCTTGGAATAAGTTGCTCATCTCCTTCTTCGAACCTTTTTGGTGTGACTATTACAAGTCGTTCTGCTCCAGTAGCATGTGTCTTTACTTCCTCTTTTTTCACATCATTGGCATCAATTTCTCCTAATCCATCTTCATGAACCAGATATCCAGACTCCAATGCTTCACTATATTTGTACTGTTCATCAGCATGTGATAATATTGCATCTGCAGAGTGACATCTTCTGCGAATTTTGATAATATATCTACCTGTCGTGGCATCAATTTCTTGGTATCCCCTTATATCAGTATCTTTGGAACAAATCACCTCAACACATCTTCTGTTCAATTCAGGCCTGATAAATTCTTTAGAATCATTTTTTGGAATCAAAGGTGGTTGTTCATGGTACTCAATTGTATTGATTGTATCTTGAATACACTAAAGTGATGGATCGAATACCAACATAAATCATGAGATTATAGGTGGCATGATGTATGTATACGAAGAATAAACTCTGGAAAATTATCTTGATTTATCAAGAAAAATGGGTTTAAGAGAACTTCATCAAAAGAAATCTGCAAATTAAAATATTCAACTAATATAACAATGAGAATTAATGGAATTCTTGGAATAAACTTATCATCCTCTGGAGATTGCTCAAGATAAAATGAGACCACTGGCTTCCAGTTCCTCAATAGTACAACCATTTAATTGATCACTCTTGATAACAACTTTCTGAACATGGATATATTATATTAGCTTTATAATAATTTTCTCATTATGTAGGCTCATCTCCCATTCTTTTTTGGAATATTTTAGTCTTATGTAATGCTTTAAATTTTCCCCAAATTTTTTGCCATATCATAGGTTTGAAATATTCTTATTCCTTCAATCATATCTAAAAATGTTTTAACTGCAGTTTCAATGACAACTGGAATTCCTTTTATAGAGTTTACAACACAACGATAAATTCTGTTATTCTTCTCTGGTAAAATGTCACTGTTCCCATGATAATAAGTGGTAAACTCATTGAATAGACTCATAAATTCATAGGTGATAAATGGAGATTTCTATTTTTATATAGAGTCACATTAAATTGGCTGTTATCCAGATTTGTAATTTTAGATGGTGCAGTACCAGTACATATTGGAATGATTAAAGTTTTGAATTTTGCTAGAACTACTATATTACTTATGACACGAAATAATGTGATTGTCCAATAATTTCCAGTTTGAAATTCATCAATTTGCAAAACTAAAATCAAAGTGACAGATGCTTTAGCGAAAAAATATATCAAAATCAAAATATTTAAAATATTATTTGCTTGATCAATATGTTCTGAAATTCGGGGATATTTATTAGAACTATTATCTTCAAGTCCTGGTTCAAGTATGTTTATTATCTCATTTATGTTAATATATATGGGGCATGCTGCAACAAAACCAGACAAAGTGAACATTAGTGTTACCAAAGATTTCAGGGTTCAAAATTTAGTCATTTGTAATGTGATTATATAATTAACAGTTTTATAATATCCCATTTGTTACCTTAAATGATATATAGAATTACCCTATATAAAAATAGTTAATATGAAACTCATTTACATCCAATCTACCATGGAACCCAAGAATTATAGTACAAACAGAAGTATTTTGAAGAAAGAGCAAGGTGAAAAAATCGCTCCTTACATTTTCAAAATAAATGATACTCAGACACTGGAAGTTTATCTAAGGAAAGAAAAGATTATTTATGAAAAGAAACAAGATCTGCATAAATAATAATAAATTGACAAAATCATTTCCAGATACGATTGCACAATTTCTTGGAATAAGTTGCTCATCTCCTTCTTCGAACCTTTTTGGTGTGACTATTACAAGTCGTTCTGCTCCAGTAGCATGTGTCTTTACTTCCTCTTTTTTCACATCATTGGCATCAATTTCTCCTAATCCATCTTCATGAACCAGATATCCAGACTCCAATGCTTCACTATATTTGTACTGTTCATCAGCATGTGATAATATTGCATCTGCAGAGTGACATCTTCTGCGAATTTTGATAATATATCTACCTGTCGTGGCATCAATTTCTTGGTATCCCCTTATATCAGTATCTTTGGAACAAATCACCTCAACACATCTTCTGTTCAATTCAGGCCTGATAAATTCTTTAGAATCATTTTTTGGAATCAAAGGTGGTTGTTCATGGTACTCAATTGTATTGATTGTATCTTGAATACACTAAAGTGATGGATCGAATACCAACATAAATCATGAGATTATAGGTGGCATGATGTATGTATACGAAGAATAAACTCTGGAAAATTATCTTGATTTATCAAGAAAAATGGGTTTAAGAGAACTTCATCAAAAGAAATCTGCAAATTAAAATATTCAACTAATATAACAATGAGAATTAATGGAATTCTTGGAATAAACTTATCATCCTCTGGAGATTGCTCAAGATAAAATGAGACCACTGGCTTCCAGTTCCTCAATAGTACAACCATTTAATTGATCACTCTTGATAACAACTTTCTGAACATGGATATATTATATTAGCTTTATAATAATTTTCTCATTATGTAGGCTCATCTCCCATTCTTTTTTGGAATATTTTAGTCTTATGTAATGCTTTAAATTTTCCCCAAATTTTTTGCCATATCATAGGTTTGAAATATTCTTATTCCTTCAATCATATCTAAAAATGTTTTAACTGCAGTTTCAATGACAACTGGAATTCCTTTTATAGAGTTTACAACACAACGATAAATTCTGTTATTCTTCTCTGGTAAAATGTCACTGTTCCCATGATAATAAGTGGTAAACTCATTGAATAGACTCATAAATTCATAGGTGATAAATGGAGATTTCTATTTTTATATAGAGTCACATTAAATTGGCTGTTATCCAGATTTGTAATTTTAGATGGTGCAGTACCAGTACATATTGGAATGATTAAAGTTTTGAATTTTGCTAGAACTACTATATTACTTATGACACGAAATAATGTGATTGTCCAATAATTTCCAGTTTGAAATTCATCAATTTGCAAAACTAAAATCAAAGTGACAGATGCTTTAGCGAAAAAATATATCAAAATCAAAATATTTAAAATATTATTTGCTTGATCAATATGTTCTGAAATTCGGGGATATTTATTAGAACTATTATCTTCAAGTCCTGGTTCAAGTATGTTTATTATCTCATTTATGTTAATATATATGGGGCATGCTGCAACAAAACCAGACAAAGTGAACATTAGTGTTACCAAAGATTTCAGGGTTCAAAATTTAGTCATTTGTAATGTGATTATATAATTAACAGTTTTATAATATCCCATTTGTTATCTTAATATATAGAATTACCTCTATATAAAAATAGTTAATATGAAATTAATTTATATCAGATCTACTATGGAACCCAAGAATTATAGTACTATCAGAAGTATTTTGAAGAAAGAACAAGGTGAAAAAGTTGCACCTTACATTTTCAAAATAAATGATACTCAGCCACTTGAAGCTTATCTAAGAAAAGAAAGGATTACCTATGAGATCTACCAAGAAGAAAGAAAAATAATAAATGTTGGAAAAAGAAAGCATCATAACGATGTATTTTTACCTAATAAAAAGCAAAAATCCTTAAAAGGAAAATAAGTACCATTTTCTTTGATAGTTGGAATTATACAGAGAGAAATTTCTTCAATTACTTTTTTATTTTCAATCAAGACCATCTTTTAGTCTCTTTGACTTCAATTTGAGTAGTTAATTGACCATTTTGTTGATCTTTTAATTTCCTGTTTTCCTCTTCTAGATGATTAATTTTTTCTTCTAAACTTTTTATCTTATCTAATAACTCCTGTTTTTGCTTTTTACTTCACTCTTCAGATTTTTTCCTGAAACTTGGCTACTTCTTCTCTTTCAATGTTTAACTCTTCTTTAGTGGTGGATAATTCTTTTTCTAGTTCACTAGTCTTGTTTTCTAAACGGTAACTAAATGACCTAGACATCAAGTCTTCTTCAGAAACAAGTTGAGTTGATTTGTCTTTCTCTAAATGACAAAAACATCTCTTTCTATTTCTTTTTGTTCTACCACACTTTTTGCACCAAGTAAGAACATTACTATCAAAATCTTGTTTACATTCATTACAAATAAAAGCTGTGTCAGTATAATCACTAGTCTTTTTGTCTAATGCTACCATTTCGTGGGTAGCAAGAGCAGTATTTAAAGCGAGGTTATTCAGATCATCATAGTCTAAGACACAAAAATCACATTGTCATTCATGACCATCGGCTAGTTCTAATACTCTATACTCTAATTTCATAAATATTATTTGTCTTTTTGAACAATAAAAGCTTGAAACTTCTCTTGAGTTCTATTCTTTGTTCGATTCAACCCACTAAACATTTGCTTAAACTTATATTGCCCTCAATTTTTGCTTTCTTTGAGATTCTTGATTTGACTGTTCTTGATTGTTAGAATATTTTCCAACTTATTTACTTGTTGCCAAAGGTTACGCCTTTCTATCTTTCATTTCATCAACCTGTCTTATTCTTCATATGCTTGCTGTTTTCAAAGCCTTTTCTGCTTCTTCACGTTCCATTTGAACCTCCTCCTTTGACTCTTCTAGTTTAGTTTCTAATTCCTTATTCTTTACTTCCAATTGCTTATTTTTTTCAAGCAATTCATTTCTCTCTTGCTCTAAACTAGTTGTTAAGAATTGTAAACTTTTAACTTCTTTGTCAACTTTTACGTATGAATCAAGTGCATTCTTATGCAAGTAAATAAGACGAACAAAACTTTCTCTGAATTTTTTGTCTTCTAAATGCTGTAATGCATAAGGGCGAAGTCAAAAGTAATCTGTAACTGCTCTTATCTCTGCCTCACATGGATTTCGGTTTAAATTACCAATTAGTTCTCTTATTTCCTCTTCAGTTAAAATATTGTTTTGGTTTGTCATGATTTTACTTTTTTTTTTATTATTCTTTTAATATACTTATATCCTTTTTATGGGCATATTAAGTATATAAATTATTTTAGTGCTTTTTTACTTTAAAACTAACAATATTTGTCAAAAGATTAAGCTTATTAAACTTAATGACAGTAAAGGCAAATTAATTAGTGATGGAGGTGATTTTATTCTGAATATTTTATTTGTTTCCAATATAGAATGGTTTTGGGCAAGTAACATCTTTGTATTCATCTTTCACAAATGGGCGAATATTATGATAAAGATACTCTTGTCTTTTGTAATCTAAAGGAGGTGGTGTTAACACTAAAATAGATAAAGTTCTAATTTCTTCAAAAATATCTGCTTTCTTGGTTTTCAATAAATCAAATTCAGTAAAAGGTCCATTAGCAATTTCCTGAGCTTTGACCATACCAAGATTAGTTGCTTCAAAAGAAAATGTTGATATTTTTGTATACTTGGTAATTTCTTAAAATAAATTCCTAAAATAGCTTTAATATCTAAATATTGAAAACCTTTTCCACCTTCATAACACTGAGCTTTATTCAATCCTGCTGGACTAGACTTTTTTACCACCGAAACCACATGATCCAGACAGTCTACTCTTGTTTTTCTATAG